ACTCTGCAGAGCACGGGTCCTCTCTGACGTACGCGGGATCGACCTGAGTCAGAACCCATTCGATGACTCCTGGGTGAACAGGACTGCGTCCCAAGCAGCTGCACCGAGGATGGGGCCCAGGCTGGCCGCCATGCAGAGCTCTCTGCCTCACATGGCCCTTCCCCACTGGAGCCCTTTGTCCCCATGTGTCTCTGCCGGCCCCCACTCTGTAATAGAGATGGCCTATTCTCTGTCGCATTGACGCCCACACTTGGGAAAGCATCCGCCTCGTGCAAACAAGCACCGATGCAGGAGGGTAGTCACCTGTGGTGTACTTGTCACCCCCCGAAACCTTGTGATCCTAGGCAGGTACCAACTGAAGAGCACGTTTTAACCCCATATGCGCTGTGGCCTCTGCTCTTTGCTTCTGTTGACTGTTGATGAGATGACCAGCAGATCGCAAGGGACCTGTGCCCTCTGAAGTCTGGGCAAGTCCCAAAGTGGCACAAACGGTTTGCAAATGGCTACTAACTATACGGTTGGCAGTTTGAATCCACCCAGGGGCACCATAGAAGAAAAGCCTGGTAACTTATTTCTGAAAACTCACCCATTAAGACCCTAATGGTGCCCACTTTTACTCTGACACACATGAGGTTGTCATTACAGTTTTTTGGGTTTTTTTTCGGGGGCAGTCTGGGCACAACATATGTATGACAATTCTGAGTCATGCTAGGTTCGATATCTCCATCGGGAGAAGGTAAATTGGAACTTGCAGCCTGAAACCCTCACTTCTTTGAGCCCATCTACAATGAGGGGGTGGGGGGGTGGGGGTGGCCCGGGAAGCCCGGCTGCGGTCAGAGAATGAGAAGGCGGTTTTGTTCTGGACACGCAGGACACATCTGCCCCGATGTGTAGCCACCACAGAGACTGAGGAAGAGGGTGTGCCATGGAGATGTGTGGGGCTGGCACAAGCCCCTGTACCCACTCACTCTGGAGGGGAAATGGGGACCCCCTCACTTGCTCCTTTCCTACCCACTCCAGACATGGAGTCCATGGACACAGAAAAGAATTGCCTCCTTGGGCCAGCACCCCAAGGGGCTGGTCACCTCCCTCATTCTTGGCCCCTAGCCTCTGTTTATACAGCCTGGGAGCAGCTACCCCTCAGGGGTGGGGGATGGGTACCAGCCTGCATTCCAATGAGATGCTGCTCTGAGGCGGCATGCTCACCTGTGCTCTATGTGGGCCCTGGATTCACCCTTCACAGGAGCCTTGGAGCCTGGCTACCTAATGGGGGGCTTGAGGTCTTGGCTGCTGGTCCCTACCCTCCTGTGGCAAATGTTGTGGGAACCTGTGCTTCTGGTGGGTGGGGGTCTGAACACCAGAGACGTTAGATGTACGGGAGACCATTTGTCATTCAGCTCCTTGGTCCCCTCTCAGATGCCCAGTGTTCCTGATCTGGCCCCCCCCCCCCCATTCTGCTTCCCAGACCAGGTGGGCTCATGTGTATTCTCTTAGGCCTCCTCCACTGCCCCTGACCCACTGCAGGCTCTGGGCCACTGTCCACTGATTCTAACTTTCCATCTGCTTAACACCAACTCAGCTCAGCCCCCTTCTATGGAAGATATGGGGCACCTGAGGGTCCACTTGTCTAGCAGTTGAGGTCAGCAGGGACGTAGAGACAGAGGCACAGGTGAGGGAGGGTCAGTATGGCTTTTCTGAGCTCTGGGTCCACTCATCCCTTCCCCGCTTTCTCCTCACTGCCCGCAGTGGTACCAGACTCTCTGGAAGGGGGGTCCAGTACTCGGAGAGCAGCAGACCCCTCCCAGACTCCACAGCCAGCAGGATTCTGATAGCGAGGGTGGCACGTGGGAGAGCAGCTGGAATGCTTTCTTCCCCTGGACTTGCTAAATGACCTTCATCTGTCCTGTCTGCTCTCAGTCTTGTCCACTTTTTGGGGAGTAGGCTAGATGGACATCTCACAGCAGCCCTGGCACGAAGCGAGGAGAATCAGACCTATTGGATGACTTCTTCTGCCTAGAGGTGCCTACCACCGATGCCCAACACTGATGCCTGGCTTTGCTTCTAAGCCTCAGTATCTTTGCCGGCCCTGGGGGATCCTAACTGCCAACGTGGGCACTTACGGTAGACCCGGAGCTGACCATCAGGGGCTCTGGGTTCTTTGCTACACAGGAACACGTGCGCGCACAAAGAAACAAATGTGCTTGGTGGGGGTTGGATAAAAACTTTACAGCGGGGGACCCCCCCACATACTCTCACACCACGCGTGACCACACCTCCGTGGGCACCCCGTACATCACACAGACGCACCCCGACACGCCCTCAGACGCCCCACGCGCCAGTGCTCGCTCGCTCACCCCACCCGCTCTTGCACACAATAGCGCACGCATGACAAAGGAAGTGGAAGAAAAGCGTTACCCATGAGTAGTTGTCGTTTCACCCGCTTGTCCACATCAGCTACTGACGTGGCATTGAACTGAGAGCGCTCAATTGCAGCCTCATCCTTCTCTAAAACACAAGTAAGGGACAAACACGGAGCAGGTGGTTAATGAGAGCCCACTTCTCACGGCCCGAGACAGTCAGCCTCTCGGCGGGGCGCAGGCAAAGCCAACACAGCATGCCGGCCGACTGGCGTGGCGGCCTCGCCAAGGGACTACTCCCAGGAGACTCCAAGGAGGGGGTGCTCAGGGTTGGCGAGACAGAGGGAGGACACAGATGGGACACAAGCTGAGCTGCACACAGAGGAGGAGCCTGAGGTCAGAGTGGACAGGGCTCGTGCCTCGCAGGGCCAGAGAAGCGGACCACTCACGGAGACAGTAGCACCGACACCCAGGCTTCAGGCTGGAGAGGCAAGCACAGGACAAGGAGACAGGCAGCGAGGTCCGGTGATGGATGCGCCTGGGGCAGCAGACGCCCCTGGCATGAGGACACTGTCAAACACTCATGCAAAATTAAGAACAAAACGCACGGAGGAGCACGCACACACACACAGGACAAGGGGATAGCCCAGCAGACACGGAGAGGCTGGGGCGGATTTGGGCAGCGCTGGTTGCCTGCTTGTCTACAGAGGGCTAGAGCTACACATTCAGGTGGTCAATGGGGTGGGGTGGGTGGGGTGTTGCATGAAGGGGGTCAGTGGGTTTAGGAGCGAGCAGGAGGGAAAGAAAAGGCCGGGGCTGGCTAGCGAGCCCCCAGTGCACCCTATGGAGGTGTGGGTGAGGTTAGCTGGCTGGGGTTCCTTTGCGTGGTGGGACACGCATGGGGACATTTGTTCCCCAGGGGCAACAGAGTGATTGTGGGCAAATTCAGGGGTGGCAGAAGCAGCAGGTGGGCACAGAAAATAGCTTCTAAGTCGGGGGGAGGGGAGTGCTTGGGAACATTACTCAGAAAGTTGATCTAAGCAGGGACCATGCAGCAGACATTAAAAAAAAAAAAAAATTTCAAAACTGGAAATCAAAAAGGATGAGTCAGGTGGACAAAGACAGGATGTGTTAGACAGAGGGCTGGCGGGTGTCTGACCAGGCAGCTGGCTGCACCCCAAGAATGACGGGACCGGAGGGGGACACAGACAGGGGGGAGGCCTGGGCGAGGCCCGGGGGAACCTCCAGGCAGGACAGCAGAGGGAGAGAGGCAGGAGGAGAAGGTTCTAGATGGATCAGGCTGCAATAGAGACACTGGTCTGAGACCGGGTTTTGCTTTTAATTTTGATGATTCTTTGTTTTGCTTTTGGCTCCGGAAATTGCTACTGAACGTCAGGTGTCAGACAAGACAGGCAATCAGGGACCATCACCAGAGAAGCGGGAGGAATGAGATAAAATGAAATAAAAATAAAAACGGCTGTCTGAGAGAAGAGACCACACAGAGGAGGGGAGACCACCGCAGGTAGCAGCACCCTGGGATGTCAGCCCACCCCCAGCCCCGGGTCCACTCCTGCTCCTGAGCAGAGGGACACAGTGAAGTGGTCAACCCTGGGTGTTGCGGGTTTGCTCACCAACCTCTCTCCTGTCACGTGAGCGTGCCTCCAGAAAGGGGGCTAGTTTCTACAGGAAGTGGGCTTTTAAAAAACACTGAACATGACAGCTGATTGCTTTGGGTTTCTAAAGTTTGCCAACACCGAAGAGAGAAAAGAGGGTGTTTGATTTTGAAATTCTTCTTTTTCTTAATACCAGATACTGAAAAAAAAAGACTGGCATTTTTGAGTGGGGGAAAAACCCTACTAGTGATTATGTATGAGATACTCATAAATATTCAAGCTTCACCTTGCAAATATGGACCAGGACAAAGGAGGCGATGAGACCAAATTTAAGGCTCTAGGTAATGGGGGAGGTGGCGGGGTGGGGCAGCATGACCCGTGGCTTTGAGAGAACCTTTTGGCCCAGGACTCCTGTTAGCTGGGGGTCAAAAGCAGTTAAAGACACCCAAACTCCACACCGACCCACACCCATCTCCCTTGGGTTTTAGACAACGAAGGCTTACAACAATTTCTGAGGAAACCTCTTGGTTTTCCAGACAACTGAGGGAACTTTCCAGACTACCACCATGCCTAGGAGCTCTGGTAGCGTAGTGGTTACGAATCTGGCTGCTAACCTCAAGGTCAGCAGTTCGAAACTACCAGCTGTTCCGTGGGAGAAAGATGAGGCTTTCTGCTCCCATAAAGATTTACAGCTTTGGAAACCCTGTACAGGGTCGCTATGAGTCGGAACCGACTCTACGACACATAACAACAATCATGCCACAGTGCTCTCTGGTTACCTGGGAAGACACCTGCCTCCTCCCACGGATCACCCTGTGAGGTCTGTGTCAGGGAAGCTGAGGCAGGCCAGCAGCTGCTGGGAGCCTGAAGCAGAGAGGCCTGGCCTTGTGTGACTGAATGTCCACAGAGAACCCCCATCATTACGGGGTAGGGCGAGTGTTACTTTTCTTGTGGTTTGGAGCCTGGGACACGCCGGGCGCTAGCAGACCTGTCAGGGGCAGGGTGGCACGAAGCCGAGGGGCTGACTCACCGATGCATGTGCGGCCGTCTGCGTGGAGGGCGTACTTCTGGTGACAGCCACACGTGGGGCCTGTGTCTGTGTCCTCGCAGGTGTGCTGGCAGCCTCCGTTCCCATAGTTACAGGTTACTAGTCAGGCCCAACGTGGACAGCCGTGTGTGTAAAGAGGACGACAACAAAACCATTAGCTGGTTGATGTTGGGGATTCCTTTTTGGGGACTGAGGGGGGCAGTTAGTAAGGACTGAACAGTGGCCACATAGCTCCCCTAGAGGGGACCCAGAACTGGACAGAACGTATAGGCCGCCTGGGTTTAGAACCAAGAGCTGAGACACTCAGGGGGGGTTAGGTGAAGGAGTGCTTGTCACATTAGCCTGTCTCAATGAGAGCTCGTCTTCTTCAGTCTCTGCTTCAGGGTCCAAGCGCCCCCCTCCAGGCCCTGTACCTCCCCAGCTCTGCAATGTCCACACAGACATTGTAAAAGCAAAGGGATACACTATGTGAGGGAGGGGTGGGTTTTGGAAATGCCCAAATGAACCTGAGCGACCTGGTCACCTTCAACCCCAGTCTCAAAACCATCACCTGTGACCTGCACCAGCTGGAAAGGGGTCCCAGCTGAAAGCGGGAATGGGTTCCCATTCCAGGGTAAGGCTATCACCCAAGAACTAGGAGGTCTGGATCCTTCTGGAAGGTGTTTTCAGAGCCCTAGCTTCTTGGACTAAGAGGGAGAGCCACATGGGCTACCGAGGCAAGGGCGTAGCAAGGCCTCAAGGACGGATGTCCAGGATTCTGTGTGCACACTGCACTTGGGGAAGACTGAATAAAGACTGCACATGGGTCCGGGTCAGAGGGGCCAAGCCTGGGGGTTCCTCAGCATCTACAGGGAGGTTGTTCCAGGGTAACTCTTTGTGAAGGGTTTCAAACATCTCAGTCAGAGCTGACATCCACAGCTGCATTTCCCAAAAGAACCACAGCAGGGGCCTTTGGAAGGGTGTTTGTTCCGAGGGATACTGGGGACCAGTCAGCCTGGTCATGCTATTGCCATGCCAAGTGAGCATGGTTTGATGAGGAAGGGCTCTTGCCCCATGCCCCAGACTGTACCCTCAGCAACCTGAGGCTCCACTGGGGACTGAGGGCCCTCTGGAGGACAGAGTGTTGTCAGTGGGTCACTTCAGGGACCAGTCTTGCTGCTTCGGGAGACACAAATGGGGCTCCACGCACCAAGCTCGCTGGTTCTGACTCTGCATTCCCGGGCACTCATCGTGGGGGAATCACCTTCTCTCTTCTTTGAAACATCTCCTTTCACCAGGGGTCTGTGGCTGACCTCTGCCCAGGAGCCTGGGTCTCGGGCAGGGGAGAGACCAGGCTAGTTGCTGTCTTGCTGGGACTGAGGGGGCTCCGTTTTAGAGCGGACAGGGGTTGTTGTTGTTAGGGGCCATTGAGTCAGTACCGACTCATAGTGACTCTATGCCCAACAGAAACCCCACTGCCCAGTCCTGGGCCAGCCTCACAGCTCATGCTTCATTTGAGCCCACTGATGCTGCTGCCACTGTGCCAATCCATCTCCTTGCGGGGGTGCGGTGTCTCTTCCTCTTTTTCTCTGACCCTCCACCCCCTAAACATGATATCCCTCTCCAGTGACTGGTCCTTCCTGGCAATATGTTCAAAGTAGGAGAGACAAAGTCTGGCCATCCTGGCCACCAAGAAGCACTCTGGCTGTACTTCTCCTAACACAGCTCTGGCTTGGGCAGGGGTGGAGCCAGGGGGAAATTCATGAGAGAACTGCAGACACATCTTTGGAAGCCTGGTATTCCTGCAGATGGTGCAGTCCTCTCTGGACAGGCCCTCACTCCACTGGCCTCAGCTGGACGTTGAAGGTGTTGCTCACTGCAGCTTGCTCCCAGAGACCCTGAGCCCTGAGTTTGAGGAAGACAAAGGGGCACCTGTGTTCAGAGGTCCTGGGCTCTGGACAGAGGCGAGATGGCCAAGGTGGGCATCCAGTGCCAGCCCAACTCGAGGTTTGGGAAGTTGTTGGTCTTCCAAGGGGCCTCCAGGGCTCTACATAAAGTCTCAGAGCAGAGCTAACATGAGGTCACTCCACGGCACTAGTCACCAGTGGGCCTCGGCAGCCACCTTTGTGAAGTTCAATTCCTTCATGATGGGTCCAGCAGGCGGGCACCAGTTTCTTGACTCCTGAAGTTGTCTGAGGCTCCAGACCCCTGAGAGGTGTCCAGCCACCCAGTGGGAAGAGAGGACTGCTGCTTCTTATGAGGGTCTAGCTCTTCTCTGACATATGGACTATTCTGGAGAGTGGGTGGAGCTCCTGTGGCTCAGGCCCCGCCTCTTCTCAGCTCTCTGAACAAACCATCTCTTCGGAGCCCCTGTCCCAGATGCAACGAGAGCATCCGGAATAGCTGCTTCCAAACATCCCAGGCTGGACGCCCGCTGCCTTCCCCAGCAAAGAACAGCTGACGTGCATCCAATCACGTGACTGGGCCTTTTTGCCCGGGCGGTCACAGTCTGCCAGCTCCACATAGTCTATTCTTGCTTTCTCTGGAGGAAGGTGGGAGCAGCCAACTCAGGAGGGCTGGGAAGGGGCCTTGCTCACTTTCTGTTCCCGAAGCTGCAAGGTGGCCAGATCTTGTGATGCTGAGGAGAGAAGAGCTAGTCTGGCAGAGACAGCCCCTGTTCCGCCCTGCCCTTGGTGACAACAACTCCACCTCAGCCCCTCCAGTCCCCCCACTTCCCCACCCAGCTCCACAAGAACACAGTGGAGAGCTTGGGCTCAGCACCAGTGCGTTGTGACCCTTGTTGTAGTTCGGGGTAGCAACAGGCATATGCCGGGAGGTCATAGCAGACCCTGCTGCAGGGGTTCAGAGCCCTGTCCCCCCTGCCTCCCCGGGCCCTGCCCTCCTCTCCAACCCGGGACAGTGTCAAAGCAATGGCAGGAGACGCATGGGGACAGCGGGCCCATTTGCCTCCATCTACCTACGTGTGCAGTCCTTCTGGTTTGGAGCTAGGTCAAAGCCGGGCCTGCAGTCACAGGCCACCCCACCTTTGGGCGTCTCCCGGCAGATGTGGGCACAGCCGTGGTCTTTATTCATGCAGTTCATGCCTTCTGGGAAGAGAGACAGACAAGAGAGGAATTGGGATCTGGCTAGGATGAGAGCAGGGGAGCAGCTTGGCGGGCTCTCAGGCTGCTCCCCACCCCAAGTACCTGCAGGAGCACAGGGGGAGGGAGTGACCAAGGATATGGGCCAGGGGCAGTTTCTGGGGCATGGTGTCACTGGGGTGGGGTCACTCCTCCCTGTGGACAGGGCCCCTGTGGGTGGGTGGAGTGGCTCTGCCCCACCCCATACGGTCAAGGCGGAGCCTTCCTCTTCATCACCGGATGACTGGGGAAGTGGATGGGGGTGACAATTACCCAACTGAGTGACTGGTGATGCCACACTGGCCTGTTACTGGCTGCTGCTGCTGTGAACCCTATAATCATGTTGGTGTTGCCTCTTCCGACAGTGTACGGGGTGTGGTCTGGCCCCCCCACCCCCCGAGAGCCACCCCTGGTCTGTGGACTCGGGTCAGGACAGAGGTACAGCTGCCCACATGAGAGCAGGTGGGTTGGTGCCGAACCTTTAAATGACCACTTCTCAGTGTCCTGGGGAGACACCCCTACCCTCGGAGAAGGAGGGACTGGTCAGGGACCAGCCAAGTGCCCGCTTCCTGCCCTAGGTGGCTCCCAGCACCATGTCTGCCCTCCTTGTGCTCAAACAGGCTGGGGACAGTGACCTGGCCAGCGGACTGCTCAGGTAGCCGTAGCTCAGAGACAGGCTGACTCACCGCCCTGCTGGGCAGCGCTGCCCACCTGCCCGTGCTATACCCTTAGGCCCCACAGACCCTTGTTCCCAGACCTCAGCCCCTGCCCATCCCAGCTCTGTGGACTACACTCACACACCAATTACAGGGTCAGGGAGGGGTCTCCCTGGGGTTGAGGGGACACTTGACCAGCATTCAGGCCATCTTCCCTGCTGAGGCACTTTCTCACTGCGCTTTCTTCTTGCTAGCTAGTTCTTGGACACTTGGAAGCCCAGTTCTTCAGAGCAAGGCTGTCCTTCCACATCCGCCCAGTCTCCCAGGGTCCCACGGTGGTGCCAGACCCCGGGCAGAAACCACTTTGGTGCAGGCGTTTCCTCAACTCCCTCAGACAAGAACCGTGGTGATGACACGCACGGTGGACTCAGGACTTGACCCAGGGCCTCTGCTGACAAGTCCCTGTCCTCACTGTGAACTTGGCTGAGATGCACCCGAGGGGGCTGGTGTGATCAGGGGTACAAGGGCCCCCAGAGTCCACCGTTCAGCCCCGTTGCCCCAGCAGACTGGAGACCCCTTGCTGGCAGCCTAGAGTGGCTCAGCCCCCCTTTAGTTGCCCCTAGTTGGTGTTTATCTTCCTGGTGATTTGTGAGGAGTTTCTCAAATTTATGAGGCCAGGGGTCAAGCGAGAGGTTGTAGGTCACAGTCCATTAAGAGGCTAAAAGGCAGATGAAAGGAAAGAGCCGCATCTCCCAACTGTGGAGACTTCACTGAAGGCAGAGTTGGGAAGAAATGTACCGGTCAGCTGCTACAAGTCAGCTCTAGCATGTCACGTTCTCAGAAATGGCCTTATAAAGTGAGGGAAGGAACTTGGCCTCCTTACTAGCTGTGCGTCTTGGGGGAAACCACTTCACTTTTCTGAAGCCTCATCTATAAAACCAGAATGATCACCCGTCTCATAGAGCACCGCTGCTGTTGTCGTTAGGTGCCAACGAGTCAGTACCGACTCGTAAGTCAGTACCCTACACACAAAAGAACAAAACACTGCCTGGTCCTGAGCCAGCCTCACCATTGGTGCTATGCCCAAGTCAATTGTTGCCCCCACTGGGCCAATCCATCTCATTAGGGGTCTTTCTCTTTTTCTCAGACCCTTCACTTTATCAAACATGGTATCCTTCTCCAGTGACTGGTCCCTCCTGACAATATGGCCAGAGTATAAGAGATGAAGTCTGGCCATCCTGGCCTCCAAGGAGCACTCTGGTTGCACTTCTTCCAACACAGATCGGTTGGTTCTTTTGGCAACCCATGGCACTTTCAATATTCTCCTCCAACACCATAACTCAAATGCATCAATTCTTCTATGGTCTACCTTATTCACTGTCCAACTTTCACAT